CGCAGACCTATCTTACCCACTCATGGCTACCTACCTTTTTCATGCCACAGTTAACATCTGTTTGTGCTGTCACTGCATTGTTCATCATATACTCACTATGTTTCTCACTCACCCAGAGCATGCCCTTTGTCCACTGCTCTGGGGGACCCTTTCTTCCCATCCTGTTTTGGACACATGAAGTGGTACAAAGTACAAAAGAACAGGGAGGAGGGAGGGCTGGGGTAAAATAAGGTGGCAGCAGAAGCCTCCTGGAGGAACAGCTGGGGGAGAGGAAGACCCTGACACAGGCACTCAGTTGACTGTGGCTCTACTGTCCCTGGTGTCATTTCCTAGCCTACTTCCCTATTTGTAACATATTCTCACTTATGTGCTAACATAAGGATTCAATATTTTGTGTGTCTGCCAAGCACAGGAAAATGAAAAGTAGGCAGGAAGGCAAGTGAAGGGGATGGGCAAGTGCTCTCAATGTAGTTGCCAAGCGTCCTCAGTTGTTCCCTGCAGCCTGTGTCTCCTTAGGAAGAAGAGGCACCATTACAAGATGTCAGAACTTGAGAAATCAGGCTGTTTCTGCAACAGAAGTTGAGAACCTCCTGTTCAAGTAGCGACCCGGGGGTTATGGATGTGCCCCTGCCAGAGCATCAGTAGAGATAGTTCAGGAAAGGGAGGCCATTTATCTGGTCACAGGAACATGGGTGGCTTGGACATCACAGCACATTTGTAAATATAGACCATCCAGACATGTTTTTGCCTGGCATGTTTAACAAACAGATAAGAACTGTGGGGCTAGTCAGAAATTACTTTTGTGGAAAATTTGAAAGCGATAAAGTAAGAAGGAAAGTTGGACAGTGGCACAGGCCTATTGTCCCAGCCATTTGGAGGCTGAGACAGGAGAATTATTTGTGCCTAGGAGTTTGAGACCAGCCTCACCAACATAAAAAGACCCTATAGAAATCCATCAGGAAACTGTGAGAGGGTAGAGTACTTGCCTAACATGCGCAGGCACTGGGTTCATCCCTGGCACCCACCACAGAGAAAGGAAAAGAAATTGGTATGTGTGTTCAAGGGTAAAATTTGAAAGGAAATTTGAAGGCACAAGTAGTCCCTGCATCAGTTGGTAGGATTAGAGATCAAGTATAATGGTTTTCCAACGGCTTTGCTGGTGTTCCCAAATGCCTCAGGTTTCTGGGCTGTGGTTTGAGGGAAGCTCTTGTCAGGACCCAGGTGCCAGGTTTCTGGAATGCAGGCCTTAACTCTGCATGGGGTGTGTGTGTGTGGGGGGGTGTCCTTTGCCCTTGTTCCATAAAATGTATTAGCCTCCACTAAAAATATTCTAAGGATAAGTAGCAGAGTGTTGCTCGGAGTTCTGGTGAGTCCAGAAACTGGCATGTGCTGGATGGGAATCATGACTTTATTTTCCAGTTATAAGAGTGTTATTTGTAGAAATGGGAAAATATAGTAAGACAAGGCCATGGCAGTGGCAATAATTTCTACACCAGGAGAGTAAATACCACAGGGGATTTTCCATCTCTCTTCTGCCCTCTTGGGTCACATGCGTAGTGTTCTCTTGTGTTTGCCAGCCAGAACCCCTCTAATGTGTAAATGAGTTTACTGTAAGTCTCATTAAAAATTTGTGTAGTGGCACACACCTGTAATTCCAATGACTCGGGAGGCTGAGGCAAGAGAATCAAATTCAAAGCCAGACTCAGCAATGTATTGAGACCTTTCTCAAAATCAAAAGGGCTGGGGATGTGTCTCAGTGGTTAAGCACCTATGGGTTCAATCCTTGGTACCAAAAAACAAATCTTAGCTGAAGCCAGGTCAGTTATGCATGCCTATAATCTCAGTTATTTAGGAGGCCGAGGCAGGAGGATGGCAAGTTCCAAGACAGTCTGAGCAACTTAGTAAGACCCTTTCTCAAAAAGGGATAGAGGTGTGGTTCAATGGTAGAGTGCCCCTGGGTTCATTTCCCAAAACTAGGGAGAAGATTATTCTTAACCCAGCAGTGGAGCATGCAGTAATTCCAGTTCTTGGGGGCTAAGGTGGGACAATCACTTGAGCCCAGGGAGTTTGAGGCCAGCCTAGGTAAACATACTAAGACCTTATCCCCCAAAAAATTGAAGGTCAGGTTGTTTTTAATGGCCAAATAGTTTTTCATCAGACTTCATGCATTGCATTGGAGGTCGAGTCCCTTGATGGCAAGTTTCACTGTTCTACCTAGCACTGTGGTAAGCACCTTGGTCCATGTAGCACCTGATAACTGACTAATCATCATCTAACTCTACAGAGCCAAGGAATGTTTTCAGGGTGATCTAATTGTTTTCTTGCATTCTCTTTACCACAAGGCCTGGGATTTGGGATGATGACAGTGCTGTAGGGCTGGTAGGTTTGTGATCTTGTTTGTGTGATGGTCAAGGTCTAGGCTACAGCCTGTGCTCTCCTCCACTGTGGGTAGGATTCTCCCAGGAGCCTCTGCTGACTGGGGGCCATCTCGACCTGTCACTGTGTTCTGTTGCAGGCGGGACCCTGACATTTGTCAGTCCAAGCTTGGCAGTTCATAAGACGTCCTCTGCTGTGGACCGCCAGCGAGAATACCTCCTCGACATGATCCCACCACGCTCCATCCCCCAGTCAGCCACGTGGAAATAGTGTGAGCCAGGCCCAGTGGAGGACAGGCTCCCTCCTCCCTCCCACCTGGCCCTTGGTCTAAAAGGACACACCACACTGCCCTCTGTGAGCAAGTGATGGCCATGCTGCTACTGAAGCAAGACCTCAGTCCTTGGTTGCAGAGCCTCATCGCAGCTGGGGAGAGGGGTGCTGCTTCATGGTGGGCAAGGATCATAACTGAGGGACCTTTCCGTGGGCTTTCTTCCTTTCTCTCTTTGCCTTTAGTTTGCCCGACACCAGCAGAAAAGTGGACCTCGGGGGGGCTGGCTGTGCTCCTGGCCCCCTCCCTCCGCCCCCGGCAGGCACACACAGGCGGTTCATCTTGGACACTGTGACACACTCAGGCGAGGCTGGCACCCAGGGCTTCTGAAGTCGAGCGAGGCATTTCATTTTCTTTTTTGCTTTTCCCCATCTTAGGCTCCCAGTCTTCGACTGCCTCCCCCATGGCAACCTATAGGTTGAAGTTGGTATTTTTCCCCCCCAATCACCTCATGATGATGGAGTTTAAAGTAAACCGTGCAGGTTCAGGGGTCTCTGTCGTGCACAGTGTAGTCCCACAGGCCCATACGCTGGAAGGTGGTTCGCTGATGGTCCCGCAGCCCCCAGCAGAGATGGCTGGCCCAACCCAGATGACTGATGGACACAGGGACAGCCAACATGGCTCTTGCTTCAGCTGAAAGCCTCCATTGCTGCTCGTTCGGAGACCCCCAGACTTCCCACACGTAGCAGAAGAACAAACTGCAGCCAGACCCAGCCAGAGACCCAGGGATTCCCGAAGTGGGTGCGCTGCCCTCAAATCAGGGAGGAGAGACTCAACTGGCAGCCACACCCAGGAGCCTGAGCAGGAAGTTGCGGGGGAGGGCTGCTGTGGGGTTTTTTTGTTGTTATTGTTGTTGTGGTTTATTTTATTAAATTTTTTCCTTTTCTTTTCCTATCTTTTTGATGGACACAATCTCAAGCCACCCTGGCATGTGCACCTGTCAGTGAGCACGCACAGGTGTGTCCAGGCTGGGAGGCACCGTCCAGGTGTATGGCGAGCTGCTTTCCCCCAGACTTAAGGATTTCCACTTGGGTTTAGTTAGAGCCTTTCCTTCAAGCTGGGGGTCGCTGTCAGGGTCTGCTTTCAGACTTTTCTCTCTCTATTCCCCTTTAGAATCTACAGAAATGTTTTTTTTAAAGGATCAGGTCTGCTTTTAGTTTTATTTTCTTTTTATTTCTTGCCCTTCTCACTCCTTAAAAATTGGTTCTGTGAGGAAAGGTGGAAGCCGTTCTGCGTCTACCACACACTGGGCCAACCCTGGGCCCATGTGAGGGTATCCCCTGTACATGCACATCTGTGTGTGTGCCTACAAGAAAACTGGGCACCGCCATTCCCCAGTTCCTCTCCAGCCCATTTTCCTACTGATGCATTTAGGGACTTCAATTTAAAATCTTTATCTGTAGGACCGCCTTCTCCAAACACAACTGCTACAACATTCTAATAAAGGCTCATTTAACCCCCATGCTCACGTGTGAATATCATCAGTCTTTAGAAAACATTTTTTGACACATAGTAGAGGAACTTAGTTTTTGGAAATTGTTCCAATTTTTTGTGCTAAACTCTGAATTTCTCACCAACTTTTTTGTTTGTTCTGAGTGCATAATTTCGCTGGGCTACAGTAGGAGAAGGGGGAGGGAAGGGTGGCTTTCATTCCAGTATCCAGGATTCAGGGGAAAGGAGGGAAATTGACTTTTTTTTTTGGAGGGGGGAGGGTGTGTTTTTACACCAAAAAAAAAAAAAAAAAAGTATGCAAGCATTTCTATTCCTCGCATTTTTCTGTGTGCCTGACAAATAAATACCTGTCTTATACTACCCTGAGCTGTTAGCCCTCTCTGTTCAGTGACATGGGCCAAATCTTCCAACTCCCCAAGCAGGAGCGCCTGGGAGGCCTCTTCCTGTTGAACAAACCTCAGTTCTATGCAGTAAGCTCAGGATCAAGCAACCAAGCCGAGTCCTCCCTGTGCTGGGTGGGTGGTCCTTCAAGGGTTTAGGCACCCAGCTTGGGTTGACCAGGTCTGAAGAGAGGGCCCAGTCCCACCCAACCATACCATATCTTGAGCTATCCAAGCCTTGCTGGACTTTTCCTCTGGGACTTCGGGCTATTAACTAGGACAGTCTGTAGTTCAGTACAGACCATGACTCCAGGGTGCCATAGGCAGAGGACAGGGTGGTAGGGACCCTGGCTCCTCCAGCACCCTTCCCTCCATCCCGTGACCCAGGAGCATTCCCAGGGATGACATACTGTGACATGAACATAACTTTTTTTTTAAAGGGGACAGTGTGAGATGCCTTAATCTTTCATTTTGACTGTCTTGAAAGTTCACCTTTTTTTTTTTTTTCTTTGAGTTCCCTCTTTGTGATATAACTTGTGTGATAAAGCCCCAAGTGGGTGATTCTGTGCCGAAATTTGTTAACACCTAAAGGCATGACTGAATACCTCTCTGGGTGTGGGGTTGAGCCATACCAGGAAAGGATATTTATTAGCATTAAGGGTATTTACCAGCGGCAAAGCGCACCTCAAAACCAGCCACCATTCCCTAAAGTGCTGGCAAGTCCTGGTCTTCCCTGAGAGCCCTTGCAGGGATCTAGCTCTTGAGAGCCATGAGCCTATGGGAACCCACAGGCCCAAAGATTGATTATAACAATCTCCAGTTATCTCTAACACAAACCTCCAAGGCAACTGGAAACCTGTGGTCAACTAGGGTGGGGACATCACCTGATTTGAAGTTGGGGCAGTTTATGTTCACACATTCCATCTGGAGCCACCCACAGCTCTAGCCATCTTGACTGTATCATAGGGACTCCAGTCTGAAATGAACTACACCTCTGGTGAACATGGGTGTCCCCTGAGGGTGGGACAGTAGCACTGAGCAGCTTTGGTTCCTAACTACCTCTCCAGGACCTCTGTGAAGCTCACCCTAGGCAGAGGGAATGAGGTAATCAGCTGCTTCCTTGTGTCTTGTTTCCACATTCACTCTCCTATTGGCTGGAGAAACACAAATTTTTCTATATAAATATTCTTATAACAGGGATATCGGAAATGAAAAGGATGGTCCATGCCACTCTGCCGTAGAGTTTTTCTTTGATGCTGAGTTATATGCTGCACATGACGTTAGCCTAAAGAATTTCAACAGCTTTTATCAAAAGGACAGCAAACATTTTTATAATCCTTAACAAAGAAAGTGTAATAGATGGTTACACTAGTGCAGGGTATGAGGGAATTTTGGGGGCGGTGGGGAGGTTGTCACTTGTATTTATTGTGACTATAAATCTTTGATAATAAAACATGTAAAAAAAAAAATGTTTGCCACCAAACCAATAGAAGTTCCAAAACAAAGAGACTGGAATTGGTGGTCATACTTTGTATCATGAGGAACTTTTAGACTCTGAAGGACAATAAAGAAATGGATAATGTGTCAACTGTACTCTTCTTTTGTCCCCTCTACCTTGATTTCCCTGTGTTTTGTTCCAGCTTCAGGGCAGCTTTTTAATGGGGGAAGAATGCAACTAAGGCATCTTACCTGATGGTGTCCCTCCCTACCTACCCTTGGTCCTAGGCGCTATCTGCACCAAGACCTGGGGTTCTGGACCTAACTTAACCCCACAAGACCAGAGGAATGGGGTCAAGATCCCAGTGGGTTTTGCCCATCAGCCTCCAAACTCCAGTCAGTGCAGGATTTTTTTCTGGAGCAATTTTCAGGCTTGGTACCTTGAGAAGTGGTCTTTGCTGCAGAACTTGATATTACAGATGCACATTCTAAGCACAGTTTGAGCTGTGGGCTGTGTCTCCAAAAGTGAATGATATCTGATGAAAATTTGTTTTCAGATGCTAAGTTTCACATTTTATTTTTGGTGCCGGGGACTAAACCCAGGATCATGTGCATCTAAGCATAACAGAGCTACACTACAGCCCCTCACATTTGTTTTCATTTTAAAAAAACTTTTTTCAGTAACAGGTTGAACACCAAGGCCTCAATGCCATGCAAGCACTCTACTACCACTAAACTACATTCCCTGCCCCTTTTACTTCATTGTGAAACAGGGTCCTGCTAAATTGCTGAGACTGGTCTCAGCCCCCTGCGTCACTGGGATCACAGGCACAGTGGCTGGCACATTTTTATTTTTAAAGTGAAACTTGGGATCACTTTGCATTCCAAATGCATAAAATATGAACTTGTTTTGCTGTTTGGGCGGCATCCTTCCCTCTACCCTGGGAGCTGACTACCTCCCAATAGCCTCCCAATAGTGTGCTGAGTCACTTCAGCAACGCACAAGAGCTGGTAGAGGGCAGAGTAGATATTAAACCCAAGCCTGTTCTCCACCTGTAAGATCCCAACCAGTGCCCCATAACCCAACACTGACCTCAAGAAACATACTTATGGGGCACTTTGGGGCCCTATCTCCACCCTCAAGATCCCTGTGCTTCTCTGGATCACATACAGGCACCTCAGTGGACCAGGGGCAGATCCAGTCCTGGACGGTGGTCTCAGCAAGTTTCTCAAGCTGAGAAATGGGACAATAACCCTGGTCCCTGAAACTTTTTGCCCCCTGAACTGGGCCCTGGGCCTGTGTGGCCATGGAGCAGGGCCTCAAAGTTTCCTACAGATTCATCAGTGGACCGATGTTACCTCCCAGAGGAGGTAACATCAAGTTAACTCAAATAAGGGAGGGAAAGTGACGCCAGGAGTGAGAAGAGCCTGGGCAATGGTTTGGTGGTGGGATGAAGCACAGGTCAAGAACAAAGAGGACAGAGTGGTTGCACTTTAAAGACACAGGTGAGGAGGATGTGGATGCACTCTAAGTGCAGTGGAGGCCCTGGGAACACTGGAGGCTCCATCCTCCAGTGTAAAGCAGAAGGTCTGAGTTTTCTGCCTCAGCTGTGACAACCCAGTCAGAACTTGAAGGTCAAGCACACCCTCTCTTCTAGCCTCAGTTTCCTCATGGGCAAAATGAGGGGGATGGGGCCACAGTCCATTTGAAGGGGGTAAGGGGAGAGCTGTGCTCAAACTCCAAGATAACAGAAAGCATGGAAGGTGAGTGAGCAGTGGCTGGCATGGCAACACCCACAGCTGAGAAACTCCCTCTAGGACCATTGAGGTTCAGATGAAATCAAGCAGGTTAGGGTTGAGGGACATATTTGTCATACACCACAAATGTCAGCAAAATGTCACCAAACCTAGTAACCTCAAGGCAGCCAAAACTCCCAACCTCCCCCAGGCCCTGTGGGGTCCCCCTGGGACTTGTAGCTCTCCACCTCCTCTCCCCACTCCCTTGCTCTTCCAGCCACAGGAACTTCCTGGCTTACTCAAACCTCTGCCCTTTTCCAATGACTCCTTCAAGACTCAACTCAAATGTGATGGCACATACCAGTAAACCCAGCCACTCTGGAGGCTGAGGCAGGAGAAATCTCCAGTTCAAAAGCCAGCCTCAGCCACTTACAGAAGCCCTAAGCAGCAACTCAGCAAGATCTTGTCTCTAAATAAAATACAAAAAAGGGCTGGGGATGTGGCTCAGTGTCTGTGTTCAATCCCTGGTTACTTGCCCCTCGCCCTGCCCCACGCCTGAAAAAAGTGATGGCTTTAATTGTGGATGCGTCCTTCCTCTTCCTGGCGTTTAACACAATTTACAATTATTATTTGGTACCAGGGATTGAACCCAGGTGTGCTTAACCACTGAGCCACATCCCCAACCCTTTTAATTTTTTTATTTTGAGGCGGGGTCTTGCTAAGTTCCTGAGGGTCTCGGTAAGTTGCTGAGGCAAGCTTTGAATTTCGCAATCCTCCTGCCTCAGTCTCCCAAATTTATGGGATTACAGGCATGCTCCACCATGTCTGGCTTACATTATTTCCAAGCAATTCTTTTATTTTACTTAATTTTCACTTGCTTTCTCATGAGGGCAGGGATTGGTTGAAGCCTCTTCACTGAGTTCCAGGGCCTTGGTACACAGCAGGTGCCTAAGAAATGCATGAGGACTGAGCAGGATTCACTCTAATTCTATCCCCAAACTCTTCCCAAAGGCAAGGTACCTTCACCAAAGAGGGCTTCCCCACTACAAAAAGATCTAGCTTCCAATCACAGCCTGTCTGTGGGCAAATAACATCTGGGTGGGCCTGTTTCCTTATCGGTTAATGCACAGTTTATACCCAGCATCCCATACACAGCATCGTCAGAAATCCTGAGATAACAAGAGACCCTCTGAATTTGCTCCATTTGGAGAATCCCATATATTGACTGGGGTTTGAATCCTCCCAACTATTTATTTATTTGGTACTGGGGATTGAACCCAGGGGTGCTTAACCACTGAGTCACATCTCCAGACCTATTTATTTACTTCATTTATTTATTTCTGAGACTGGCTCTCGCTAAATTGCTTAGGGCCTCGCTAAATTGCTGAGGCTGGCCTCGAACTTGCCATCCTCCTGCCTCAGTCTCCCTAGTCGCTCGGAACACCACCACGCCTGGCCTCCCAACTCTCTTCTGAGACTGGAAGACAGAACCTCAATATGCCTTCCTCTATAATGGGCAGACCGCGCCAGCCTTCCTCCCCGGACGGCTCCCTCCTCCCTGCTCTGTAAAAGGGGCCACTGCTAAAGCCACTTTGCGAGGAAGAGCGAGTTTATTGCAGGTTCTAACCGAAAATCTGGCATCCGCGGCTGGCTGGGGAGGGACGCCCTCCACGCAAGTCGGCTCGCCGGCAGCTCCTCCTCTAAGCCACCATCTGCCGCGTAACCAACGCTCATTCCGCGCAGGCGCAAAGCTTCGTCTCCTCTCGTCTGGCCCCTCCCGGGGCCTTTTCGCAGGGACTTGAGGATGCATATGCGCCCTCCAGCTCTCGGGATTGTGGAGGAGGAACTAGATTCCAAACCCGGGCAATTGCGGCCCACGCCGCGCAGGGGAAGGGAAAGGGTAGAGCACGTGTGCAATCGCAAGCGGCGGCTTCGCGGGTTTCCGGAAGCGTGCCAGTGCAGGGTTCACCGGGAACCCCGGGAACCCCGGCTCCTAGCCGGAGTCCCCAGCGCGCAGCCAGCTGTTGCGCGCTACCTGGCCCGCTGAGGGCCTGGCTGATGGGCTGAATTGTAGCAACTCGGCAATCAGGGACTTGCAGCGCTCGGAGAGCTCTAGGCCCTCGGGATAGAGCACGCCGCGCTTCTGGCGCCGGGGCAGGCCCGCGATGTCTGAGTCGTCGAAGGGCATGCACCCGGTGACCATGACGTAGAGCACGACGCCCAAGCTCCACACGTCATATTTCTTGGGGTCGTAGGGAATGCCCAGGAGTACCTCAGGTGACGCATAGGCTGCCGAGCCGCAGTAGGTGGTGCTAAGGTCTGGATAGCCATGAGCCTGACGACCGAAGCCGAAATCGGTGAGCTTGACGCGGCGCTCGTCAGGGCTCAGCAGCACATTTTCGCACTTGAGGTCGCGATGCACCAGATGGTGGTCGTGCAAGTAACGTACAGCGCCCGCGATCTGCGCGAAGAGCTCGCGCGCCTGTGATCCAGGGATGCGCCCGTTGCGCTGCACCGCCTGCAGCAGGTCGGTGGCGGCCGCCTCCATCACGATGTACAGCTTCCCGTTGCACACCTCGATGAATTCGAAGACGTGTACGATATGCGGGTGCCGTACACCCCGCAGGATGGACAGCTCTCTAGGCAGGAACTTGTTGACGAAGTCCGGGGGCGCTCGCCGCCGGTCCACCACCTTGATGGCCACCGTACCCTTGTACTTCTTGGAAGTGGCCACCTTAACCTTAGAGTAGCTGCCCTCGCCTATTGTGCGACCCAGCTTATAGCCAAGTTCGCTCAGGAGTTTGTCACCCGACATGGTGGCGCCCGGGGCGCGCGGGGAGCAGGAGGCGGCTGCTGTCGGGGGGCGGCCGGACTCCGATCTCGGGCCTAACCCATGGCGCTTGGCACCTGCACACCCGCACCCCCATGTGCCCACTCCCGAGCTCCCGCCGCCACGGTGCCTTTTATTTCCCAGGTAACAATTTCTGCCTTGTGAAGTTACTGCGGGCGTCACTCTACCTCGGGGTGGGGGCCGCCCGGACCCCGCCCCGCGAGCTCCCTAAGCCCCTCTGCTTTGTGACTCAATCGTCCAGAATGGTCAGTTCCTGGTCAGAGGCTACTAGCAAGGGGTACCGACCACCACTGGGAAGCGGAATTTGTTCCTGGGATTAGAGCGTTTCTTCGTGAGTCCCCCCATCTTCGTTTACCCAACTCGAGACCATGTTCTCTCAGGGCAGCCCCAATGAGATGGGACCTGGAAAGGAGGACTTAACTCGGGGACCTGGTTCCCTGGGGAGTTCGGGGTTTCTGACCCTTTTGTGCATCGCCCAGGGGGAAAGGTGAGCGTGAGGGATTTTAGTGCAAAGTTCAGGGCGCCCTGGCGACCTCCAGGTGCGAACAAGGGCTGACTCACGCCTGAGAAAGAGAAAATCAGGACTGCTGGACCGCAGCCCGGCCACACACTCAGACTCGGGCCCTGCTGCCTGAACTCTCCGGAGCGGTGGAAGAACCATCCCAACATCTTTAGTTCCTTAGCGCCGCAGACTTTTGCTGGAGCTTCCGCCACTCTCAGCATGGCGGCGGGCGGATGCGTCACTTCCGCCTCAGGCCGGAAGCCTGGGGTTCTGCTAGCATGGCGGCATCGAAGGTGAAGCAGGACATGCCCCCGCCAGGGGGCTACGGCCCTATTGACTACAAGCGAAACCTACCGCGCCGTGGACTGTCGGGTCAGTGTAGCTCCATGCCAAGGTTCTCAGGGTCTGAGCCCTCTGGGTTGTGGAGGCGGGATTCGGGGACGTGAGCAGGCCTCAGTTTATCCGAAGGTGTGACGGGGTGACGGGAGGCCGCGGGGTCTCAGTGGCTTCAGTAGTAATAATAATAACTGCTGAATAGTTATTATTATTACTACTGTAGTAGTTATTGTTATTACTATAATAGCGGGCCTGGCTTCCTTCTAACAGCCCAGGAAGTCAGTCCCCTAAGTTATACCCATTTTACAGTGGGTTAAACAGATTGGTATAGCCTGTCCCCAGCCCCCTCAGCCACCCTTGGGTTTCACAGGCGGGGAAACTGGTCCCATGGAGGCTACGATTTCCCCAGGGTCAACAAGAGCAAGGCTGGAGAATAAACCCCGAAACCAGAGGGAATTTATAAGATGTTCTAGGTGGTGTTTCAAACTCGCTGGTAAACCCCAACTATAAAATGCCCTGGGAATTCGTCTTCTTAAATTTTCAACTGTTATAAGTAACATTTTAAATTTTGTTATGGAGTTCAACGGAGAAAAATATAACAGACCGTAAAAGGCTCAGATTTAAAAGAAATATAAAAATTTAAACATAATTAAGGGATGAGTGCATTTACTGTAACTCATTGAACTTCACTTTTAAAACCTGTGCATGTGGTGGGCGCGCACCTATAATCCCATTGAATCTCAGACTCAGGAGGCTGAAGCAGGAGGGTAGCAAGTGTCTTAGCAATTTAGCAAAATACAGATGAAAAAGGCGGCAGGGTGTAGCTCAGTAGAACTTTCAATTCATGTGCATGATTTAAAAAAAAAAAAAAAAAAGATTCATACAGTAGAAAAGTCAGTCTCAAGGTATATAGCTCAATAGCGGAGCACTTACCTAGCATACCGCAGGCCTTGAGTTCTATCCCCAGAATCAGGGAAACAAGTAACATTTTAGGCATTTCAGGACCAGAGGATCTCAGCTGCCAAAACAATCATTTACAAATGTAACTGTGTTTTTAGCTCCTGGGCCTTGGAAAAACAAGTTATAGGCTAGATTTGGAGAATATAATGATCTGAATCTTTTTTCTTTTGTTGTTTTTTTTTTTTTTCCTATGTATGGAATCCAGAGCCTTGGGCTACTTATTCATTTTTTATGTGGTGCTGAGAATTGAACCCAATGCCTCACACATGCTAGGCAAACACTCTACCACCGGGCCATATCCCCAGCACCCTCTCATTTCTTCTTGAGGTATAACTTAACATCCAGGCTAGTGCACCCGCCTTGGGTGTGCAGCACATGTATTTATATGCGTTCACCTATATGACTTGCACTCAGACCAGGACACAGAAAGATCCCAGCCCTGGGGTGCCCTTGGGTTCCCTGAGTCAGCATCTCATTTTTTATTTTTAAGTCAAATATGACTTACCTGGCTTCTTCCAGTTCATGACACAGCAGTGCCTCCCATTGTGTCTTAATCACACACCCTTTATGTATAAACCCACTCTAGTCTTTCCTGGCTGCATGGGGATGAGGAAAATACCTATTCTGGTGGCTCAGTCTTCATTTTTGTACCTTTTTCAGTATCTGGTTGTTGAGTGACTGAAGGCATGGCTCTGGTCCTGTCCCAAGGTGCTCAGAGTACAGCTGAGAAAACATGCCAGAATTTCTAGTTGTGGCAAAGCCTGAAATAACCAGGGTCTGCTTTATCCCAGTTAGGCCAGGGCAACCTCTCAGAAAAGGAGCCTGATGGGCAGGGGAACAGCAAGTGCAAAAGTCCTCAACCCAACCCCAGTCCCTACCCTCTGTCTTCTAGTCTTGCCTCTTGTGAGCCATGGTCCATATCAGCTCTCCCCTCCATCTGTTCTCCCCCAGCTCTCCAGTCCTGTACAAGGTTTTGTGGCATAGCACTCGCTCCCCTCTCTGCCTATCCCACTCACTGTCAGCATTCCAGAACATGTCAGGCTGGTTCAGGCCACCTTTAATCTAGCCCCTCCTCCACTCATCTCTCACACCAGCTCTTCACTCCCTCTGAGGCTAGTAGACTGCTCTTTATATCTTGGATCTTTTATTGACATTCACATACTGTACCCTACAATTCACTCATTTAAAGTGTGTCTAGCTGGGGGTTTAGCTTAGTTGTATAGTGTTTTTATCTTGTTGTTGTTTTTTTTTTTTCCCCTGTATTGGGATTGAACCCAGGGGTACTCTACCACTGAGCTACATCCCCAGCCATTTTTTATTTTGAGACAGGGTCTGGTCCTGAGCCAGGCCTCAAACTTGTGACCCTTCTGCCTTAGCCTCCTGACTAGGATTACAGGTGTTGTTTCTACCTTTTAGCTATCATGAAAAATGCTGCTGGAACATTCATGCCCAAGTATTTGTGTGGACATAGGTTTTCATTTCTCCTGGATAAATTTCATCCAAGAGCAGAATTTCTAGATCATGGTAACTCTGCCTTTAACATTTTGAGAAACTACCAAACTTTTCCACTAACCATGCTATTTTACCCACCCCACCTCCCACACCCCTGCAATGTATGGGACTTCCAACTGATCCATACTTCCTTAGCACAAATTAATTATTTTGTAGAACTGGGGCTATGCTAGCCAAGCTCTCTACCACTGAGCACATCCCCAGCCTATCCTGCCCTTTTTTTTTATAGCCATCTAAGTGTATGTGAAGTATCATTGTGGTTTTGATACGCATATCCCTGGTGACCTCCTGCTGTTGAGTATCTTGTGTTTTTTGGCCATTTGTATATCTTCCTTAGACAAATGTCTATTTAAATTTTTTTATACATTTTTAAATTGGATTAATTTTTATTATTGAATTGTAAGAGCCTTTATATTTTGGATTCCATTTCCTTATCAGATATATGATTTTCAAATATTTTTTCATTCTGTGAGTTGTCTTTTCAGCTAATTGATGGTGTCATTTGAAGCATAAAAGTTTCTGATATCAGCAAAGTTCAATTATCTCTTCTTTTAATACTTGTGCTTCAGGCATATCTAATAGACTAATGGCTAGTCCAAGGTTACAGAGACTTACTCCTATGTTTTCTTCTAAGAGCATTCATTTTAGCTCTTACATTTAGGCCTTTGATCCATTTTGAGTTAATTTTTGTGTACGGGATAAGGACAGAGCACATCATTCTCTTGCACGTAGCTGGCCATTCAGTTGTCCCATTTGTTGAAAAGCCTTCTTTTTCCAATGAATTGTCTTGGCACCCTGTCTAAAATCAATTGACCATAAATATGAGGGTTTATTTCTGGATTCTCAGTTCTCCCCCATTGATGAACATGTCTATCCTCATGCCAGTGCCACACTGTCCTGTACACACAGCTGCTTAATGAGTTTTGAAATGGTGAAGTGCAAGTCCTGCAACTTTGTTCCTCTTTTCCAAAATCATTTTGGCTGTTCTGGTCCCTTGCATTTCCATGTGAATTGCACCATGTGCTTGTTGATTTCTGTGAGAAGGGAAAAAAGCTGGTATTCTAATAGGAATGCATTCAGTCTATATCTCAATTTGGGGAGTGTTGCCATCTGTTCAGTGCTAAGTGTTCCAGTCTGTGAACTAACTTACTCAAATTTAACAATGGCCTGCATACCATTCTGTGCATATTCCACTTAGGCCTCCCTTACCAGAAGGGCAATTTTCAAGCACAGACTTACCCTGAGAGCCTGAGCCCCACCAGACTAAAATGAGTTTTGGCCTGAGAGCCTGTATGAACCACATACTGCATCATCCTAAAAGCCCTCTTGTTCTTTGGAATTTATCTTAAAGGTGGGTCCACACTTGGGTGCCCAGGTAGAAGGACCAAGGATCACTATGGGGGCTTGTTTGCTACTCAAAAAAAGGTTGGGAGTGATCCAGGTTTGTCCCCTGGGGCTGAATCAGGAGGAGAGTGCTAGGTTCTCTATAAATGCTGAAAACAATGAGACTGCTATACTGAAAACTCTCATCTAGTGGGTAGATGGCTAAGTGCCCAAGGTAGGTGGCCAGCCAGAGCTGGTCCTGAGCACTCAGGATCTGCCCCAAGGACTAAAGCCAGGGACTCTTGCTTTCCTACTCCCATATCATCTCCAGGCACATGGAAGTATCTTATTGTAAGCATGTGTTTCTTTCTCTTTTTTTTTTTTTTTTTTACTATGGGTAAAAAATTGAGCATTTCTCATTTACCTTGAGATCTAGCAGAGATACCAGGCAACTAACCCCATGCCAGAGCTGACAGATGGATACACTGATTGTCCCCCACATGCACCATGGGGTCCTGACTCCCAGAGTTCTGCTCTGCCACCCCAGGAGGCCCAGAGATGGCCTCACCTACTATCTGCTCTCATTTGCTGAATGTTAACTTGAGTTCTACTGGTCTGAACCTGTCACTTTGTCCCAGCATCCACCAGGCCTATTTGGAGAAGAGACTGAAGTTGAAAAGATTAGGGGGAAGCAGGGAGGGGACCACACCCCAGGTGACTCAGGCCGCCTTGAAGACCCCAGCTGGCCTTCAGCCTGTCAGTCAGGATTAGAGGAGGGGCTCCTGCTGGTCCTCAGTAAATATTCATGGTGGCCTCTGTCTCTCCCCTGGGTGCTAGGCAAGGGGCCAAACCCTGCTGAGCCCAGAGGTAGCAATACCACCCCTGAAGCCGAGGGGCTAGCTGGGGTGACTCTGCAGGGCACTGCCTACTTCCGGTGGCTGCATGCTACCCTCTATGGGCAGCATACAGGGGTGGTGACCCAGGTGGCCAGGAGATACCACAGAGCTGGGACCCAGCCATGGACACTCAAAGCCTTCCTTCCTGTTGGGGACCAGCCTGCTGACTGGAAACCACATAACTTTCTAGAAGAAAGAAAGAACCAGGGCCACTAAACCACAAACATCTAGACCATTGGGTTCTCCAGTAGCCCCTGCCTGTTCTGTACCTTCCAGAAACCCTGGCATTGGGTCAGAGGTGTTGTAGCCCAGGCAGTCCCACTTGTGAGAGAAAAGCTTCCTGGTGTCACCTCACTTGACTGTAGAGCATGTGGACACAATAAAAGTTACCTGGAGTTCAAGGAGAGAGGGATGGGGCCTCATGCCAAGTAGTGAACTATATGGAATGGGGCCAGTAGACATTCACAAATAAAGAAGAGTCTGAAGAAATACATGCTAGACTGAGGTTGCCACCAAGTCCTGGGGATTTCTGGGGTAGACTTCTGCCTCCCCTCTTGTTTGTCTTTGTAGAGTATTTGTACAGCAAGTAGATGTTCCCTCACAAGAGGAAACAACAGGGCAGTGACCTGTTACACCAATGGGGTGCCTCCTTGTCTCCACAGGCTACAGCATGTTTGCCGTGGGTATTGGGACTTTACTCATTGGGTACTGGAGCATGATGAAATGGAATCGCGAGCGCAGGTAGGTCCCATGGTTCAGGAAGAGTGGGGGTGTCTTCTGAAAAGATCCCCCCTCACTGGTTGACAGGGATGCAATAGTGTCTGGAGTGCAGTCTACTTCCAAGCTGGTGAGGCTAGAGTTGTATGTCAGACTTGGCCACGTAGACCAGGCCTAAAAGTATAGGTTCTGACCTTCACTTCCATTTCTAGACCTGATGCTCAAGAAATGTCTGGTAAGCAAGGCGCTCATGACCACATGTTTAGCAGCCTACCCTTCAGCCTTTGAGGCCACGAACCCTACAGGTCCAGGTTAGTAGAAGACCTTGAGTGGTCGAGGGGCAGGCCTCTGACAGCCTCACAGCAGGTTTTTGTCAGTGATAATCAGGCAAGGATGATGATCAGGGCTTAGAAACCAGAAGCTGTGACCCCCCTGGGGCCAGAGAAACTAAGGCCAGGCATCCCTGGGTCACAGGAGAGGAGATGGCCAGAGACCTCCCTGAGTCACATCACTGGGCACTCCGCTCATCAACCTCCTTAAAGCATACACTGGACTAGCTTTCCATGGGGACCTTGGAAACTGCCAGAGAGCAAGGAGAAAAAAAGAGGGATGCACAGGCTCCGCCTACCTTGGCCTCACACCCTGTGGTTATTTTGAGATGAAGGGGACTTTGGTTTTCTAAAGCCCAGAGCCCCGTGATGAATCTGTCCCCACTCCTTCACTGTGATCATCAGGCAGGGCTATTTTTAGGATTTAAAAAAAAGTTTTTAATTGAAAAGAAAGTATTAAGCCAACAGTCTTGTGGACAGATGCCTCTGCCAACTTCCCGCCTTCACCCACTCATTTGCCCTCATCTCCGGCTCTGGCCTCCTCCCACCACCACCCTCCAGGCTGCCACTATTACCTCCCTCTTCCTTTCTCCCTCCCCCATATAGCACCCTGGGTATTTGAGGGCCATTTTGTCTGTACACACTCCAACCTTGCTTCGTCCTAATGTCAATTTCTGGGTTTCATAGGCGCCTGCAGATTGAGGACCTGGAAGCCCGGATTGCACTGATGCCTCTGTTTCAGGCAGAAAGGGATCGCAGGTAGGTCTACTGGCCAGGGTTGGGAGGTTATAGGCCTGAGTGTCCCGGCCTACAAGGCTTTACCTGCATCCAGGACAATGGCCGTGGTGCATGCATGAACTGTCAGCCGCACTCTGGAGCACACAGGGCTGGCATCACCCTTAAAGAGGGCCAAAACATGACCTAGTGGAGAGTCCAGAGGGGAGAATGGGAAGACTTCCTGGAGGAAGGCACGTAGAGGCAGGGGCAGGAGACAGGGTAGGAATTTGCCAGGGGAAGTAAAGGAAGGAAGAAGAGCAATGGGGAGAGGGCTGGAGCAGTAGGAGGGAGGCGGGCACCTCTGGCAGAGGAGCGAGTGCAGTCCTGCTCAGTCCCTACCACCTGTGCCATCCCTGCAGGATCTTGCAGATGCTTCGGGAGAACCTGGAGGAGGAAGCCATCATCATGAAAGATGTGCCTGACTGGAAGGTGGGTCCTGGCCTCCAGGGCCACAGGGCTGGAGGGTCATTCACACAGCCTTCTACAGAAAGCCCAGGACTGAGTGGGGTGATGGTGGCCTGGTCCAGGATTGGGGAAATGGCAGCTCCTGGCCCCAGCACAGGGGCCACTAGTCCTTGGGGGGTGCTAACTAGTGCTGTGCCTCCACCAATAGCCCCCTGTCCCCACAGGTGGGTGAATCTGTGTTCCACACACAGCGCTGGGTGAGCCCCACAATAGGCGAGCTGTACGGACTGCGCACCACGGAGGAACTACTCAACGCCAACTACGGATTCATGTTATACACGTAGCTGGACAATCTCCCCTCTCCGCCAGGAAAAAAATAAACGCTCTGGAGTCCTGCCTGTCTGTGCCCTGGGCACTGCGGGGGGGTGTGGGGGGAGGATGTAGTGGGGAAGGGGGGCGGGTGGCACCACCGGATCACGTGGCATGGGGAATTCTGCAGATGTGACCCTTGATAACCTCTAAACATACCCAGGGATGTCCCCAGATCCACCTGTCTTCTGCTAAGCTTTCCTGCACCCGCTGAAACCCTGTCAGCAGCCCCTGCCCTTCTTGTCTGTGAGCCCCGAGTCAGGTTTGAGTCGTCCTCCCGTCTTCGCGGGGGGGTGGGCTCACCAGTGGGTGGGGAGTGCCCTTGTCCAGCCCAGGATCCCACAGCCTCTCCAGACTTAGTTTACTTGCCACTATCCCAGCCTGAACTTCCTCTGGCTCAGCTCAGAGGCTCCCCTTCTGACACAGAAGGGTTAAGTCATGCCTGCTCTGACCAATAGTCACGCGCAGCGCCTTCGCGGTGCCTCCTGATTGGCGGGTGTGTTGGAGGGGCGAGGGAGGGGGTGGACTCTCCCGCCAGGGATGTGCTTAAATGACAGTGGCGACCAAGAGACCGAGCTGCGCACACCCGCACACCTTGGCCATGAGCAGTGCGGTGGGTCCAGACCCGGCGGAGACGCCTGAGGAGCGGAGTTTCCTCAGGTCAGCCAGGGAGAGGGAATGGCGATGGGCATGGCCGGGGCGAGAATGGGTGGAACTGAGGCAAAAGTATGGTCCAAACAGGTCAGTGACATCAGAGAAAGGGATAAGGCTACAATGGGGAGTCCCTGGTACTGAAGGCAGGAGTGAGGCCGGGATGGGGGCGGTGGAGATAGACGCAGAAACAACAGGGATGAAGGACTGGACGCAGGGATATGGCTGGGTTGCAGCCGGAGGACCAGAGGCCCATCCCGCATCTGACTGGAAAGACAGCCTGCCTGTGCTTCTGACGCCTCCGAAGCTGTGTTGCCAGGGAAACTGCATCCGAGGCAGGCCTTCCCCTCATGAATTATTCATCAGCACCTCTAGTCACTCTGCCAACCCCAGCCTAACCAGGGCTTTCCTTCTCTGACCCTCTGTCAGGGACCATGGAGTCCCAGGATCCGATTCCCCAGCTTGGAAGAACCGACTTGAGCTCACAGGTTCTTGCACATCTTGGTGATCCACCCACCGGGCTTTCTTGTCCAGAGGAGGAAACCAAGGCTTGGGGAGGGAATTTGCTCCCTGAGCCAAGGCCAGTGCAGATTTTGAGAATTTGAATGCATAGGCCATTTGCCCTGGGGCTGGTCAAGATCTGTGTCCTCTGAACCTTGTGATGTAGGACTCCAGGTGGAGTATTACACCTTGCTGTGAACCAGATTCAGCAGCCCTTAGCCCACTGTCCACCCTGTGCCTCTGCTCAGGGCAGATATTGTCCAGAGACAGACTGATATCCAGATTCAGAAGTGAGTTGGAGGAGCTAGAGCTGTGGCTTCACCTGCTGTGGGGGTCTCAAACTGAGAAGAGATGGGGCTCCTTGGAGTGGGTGGACATGGGAGAATAGAGGCAATAGGTTGGAGGCGTAACACAGTGCTTGTAGGCACCATGAGAAATTTGAATATTCTCTGAGCACTGGAGATCCATAGACAGGTTTTATGATGGAGGTGATGTGATCTGGTGTTCAAGCATTCAAAGTCCCTGCAGCTGGTGCTGAAGAAGAGTTCAAGGGGGCATGAGACTGCTGTATGCAGAAGGCCAGGTAAGTATTAATAGCAGAGGTGTGAGGGTGGAGAGAAGCAGATGAATCCCAGAGAGCTAGGGTACCAGTAGGGGTACCTTGGCCTAAGGGCTTCTTGCTCTTCCTGGAAGCATTTTGGGAATGTCAGGCCCAGTTCCCTTTGGATTCAGTTCATTTCAGCCCTTCTGGGTCTGGCAAGGAAATCGAAGGTTGCAGCCCCTGTCTGGGGACTGAGGCTGAGGAAGCAAAAGAGTTCCTCACACTGAGCCCTTCTGAATACCTCATTAGCAGATGACTGGCCCGGATTCCTCCCTCCCACTGAGCTCTAATCTCATGCTTACCTTGCAGAACTGCTACTGTCCCCCATCCCAAGATTCCTACCCCATTAACACTCTAGTCCAGGTAGGAAGAAAAGTCCCAGGTGACTGCCAGAAATCCAAACTTTGGGACAGAAGGAAAGGAGAAATGGGTGTTCCCTCCATCCTCTACTTCCTTCCCTGATCTATTGGGGCAGCAGCTGGAGTTGTCACAAGATGAAGATGGGGGAGCCAGGCACAGTGGCACACACCTGTAATCCCTCCTCAGCTTGGGAGGCTGAAGCAGAAGGATCATGAGTTTAAAGCCAGCCTCAGCAACTTAGGGAGGCTCTAAGCAATTCAGTGAGACCCTGTCTCAAAATAAAATACAAAAAAGGGCTGGAGATGTAGCTCAGTGGTCAAGTGCCCCTGGGTTCAATTCCTGGTATAAAAAAAAAAAAAAAAAGATGGGAGAATGAGCCATGTTCCCAACCTGCCAGAGTCCTCAACCTGGACTTGAACACACCATCTCGGATGTGCTTACCTAGGAGCTGGACCACCTGCTCATCTGGTACCTTTTCCCTGCCGATCCTTAACTTTTAAAAATTTTTTTCTTTAGTTGTCAATGGATATTTATATGTGGTGCTGAGAACTGAACCCAGTGCCTCACACATGCTAGGCAAGCACTCTTAACACTGAGCCACAACCCCAGCCCGGGCCCTTAACTTCTCTCTGTATCAGCCCAGATACAAGACTTCCCTTACCTGAGTCTTCATCTCCTCATCTTCACAGACCCTCTGAAGTGTCTTCCTGACCACATTTCTCAGGCATTGAGTCCCTGCCTGCCTTTCCCCTCCCTCCCTTTCTTTGTTCTCACTCTGCTTCTGCTCTCAAGCATGCTAGACTTGTTCCCACCACAAAGCCTTGGCCCTTGGCCCTTGCTGTTCTTGCTACCTGGATTACCTCCCACCATACTCCACACCTCCTCCAGGGAGCCCCTTCCCACCGCCATCCTTTCTGCCCTTCCACATTCTGCCGACCATGGTGAATGGGGGGGTATTGCTGATCCCCAGCAGGAAGGGAAGGGGGCTTACTTGGGGGATGCTGGCATCAAGTTTTAGTCCCTGCTCTGTGGACTAACCCCTGATCCTGGAGTGAGGAACATCTTCTATGTCAGCTCTCCCTCTCCCCAGCCACCAAGCCTGTGCTCCTTGGAAACCCCTAAGCAAGGGCTGGGTTGGTCTCTGCACTTAGAAGAACTCAACATTTTATTTATTTAGGTACTGGGGATTGAACTCAGGGGCACTTGACCATGAGCCCCATTCCCAGCCCCATTTTGTATTTTATTTATATACAGGGTCTCACTGAATTGCTTAGTATCTTGCTTTTGCTGAGGCTGGCTTTGAACTCGAAATCCTCCTGCTTCAGCCTCCCAAGCCCCTGGGATTATAAGTGTGAGTCACCACACACAGCTAGGTCAACAGATGCCCCCTCCCTCAGCCCTTTTTATTTCTACATAGAGCCATGCTAAATTGCTGAGACTGGCCTTGAACTTTTGATCCTCCTGCCTCAGCCTCCTGAGTCACTGTAATTACAGGCATGTGTCACAATGCTCAGCTTCAACACCTACCATTCCTAATAATTTTTCAAACAAGGACACCCTGTTTTCATTTTGCACAGGACCCCATAAATTATAAAGTCCCTCTGCCTTCAAGTTTGCCAAGAGTGGAGATGGACCCCAGCAGTCACTCAGCAAAGTGGGTGACAGAGCTTCACTCCAAGCCAGGTGGTCCCATCTCTTTGGCCACATATACTTAAATTTTATCATTGTCCCTGAAGAGGGTCACCAAAGCGTCTTATAAAATCACTTGTCCCTTGGGCTAGGACTGTGGTTCAACAGTAGCCTACTTGCTTTGCATGTGTGAGGCACTGGGTTCTATTCTCAGCACCACGTATAAATAAAAGATCTATCAACAACTAAGGGAAAAAATATTAAAAAAATAAAAATAAAACCACATGTCCCACATTCACCTCCTGGAGTGAGCCATCAAATTCCTCAGCAGCCTTCAAAACCCACCTTCCTCAGGTGTCCCCAGTCCACTCCACCCACTCCAACATCTTGGAGCTTGCTCAGTGATTCTCACTGCCTGAAGTCAATCCATCTCCCCCATCAAAGTCCTTCGCTCTCCATCACTGAGTTCCTCCTGCCATAGTTGGGGGCCTCTGGCTGGGTTTGGCGGCAACAGAACCACCATTGGCTGCCATGCACCCCTTCGACCACCAGAGGGTGCGCTCCTCAAAATTGTCTCCAACCTCCTAATGGTTGCTATTCACCCGGGGCAACTGAGGATGAGGGAGGATCTGCAATTCAGAGCTGCAGAAGCTACTGGAGGATAGGGGACATACCCCTTAACATTTGTGGAACATTTCTGGCTCCATCTGAGTTTCTATGGGTCTATTGTGTTTCTTTGTGTCTCTGAGCTTCTCTCCCCATTTTCTGACCCCCAGCACGGCGGAGGCAGCTGCCCTGGAGCGGGAGCTGCTGGAGGATTATCGCTTTGGGCGGCAGCAGCTAGTGGAGTTGTGCGGGCATGCTAGTGCCGTGGCTGTGACCAAGGTACTTGACCCCCGACTGCCTGACCTCTTGACTGACCCCAACCTGATCCAGCAGAGCTAAGGTCTAGCACATTAACCCTGTGACCAGGATGGTCCAGACTTAAAGAATCCTCTCTTTGCTTGAGGCTACTCCATCCCAACATTGAGACGGGGAAACAGCCCTGTTCCAGGCCAGAAAAGACCTGAGACTTAGGGTGTCCCCAGTCCACTCCACCCACTCCAACAACATCTTGGAGCTTGCTCAGTGATTCTCACTGCCTTAAGTCAATCCATCTCCACCGTCAAAGTCCTTCACTCTCCATCACTGTCTGAGTTCCTCCTGCCATAGTTGGGGGCCTCAGGCTGGGTTTGGCGGCAGAGACGGTCAGGGCAGAGGCAAGGGTTCCCAGAGACGTGGAGGCTATTTCTTGGATGGTGCGGGGCTCTTGAGGTGCAGACCCTAGGAACTACTGCATATCTTAGCTGCCTGCTTCTGTGAACGTGGGAAATGCCACCCTCCTACAACTTGAGCACCCCAAACAACCCCGTGCTGATGATAGGGAAACTGAGGCCCAGAGGCAGGCCAGTGCCTGCCCAAGGGTTGGAAGAAGAGCTGGAATTCATTACAAGATGACAGGAGAGAGAAAGCAATAAAGGTACTGGGTGCTTGCTGTGCGGCCCACCAAGCTGGGCCTCAGCTTCTTCCAAAAAGGAGTAATGAATCCTCCTGACAAATCAGTCCATAAATGCAAATGCCTTGGGGAAGGGCTCCACAACAAAGCCAGGGTCTGGCAGTTTCCCTCCCTCCTTCTACTCCTCCCAACTCTACCCCTCCCCCCTCCCCTTTTTCCTTCCTGTTTTTCTTCTTCATCTTTTTCTTACCACTGGATACTTTTCTTTTTTTTTTTCTTTTTCTTTTTGAGAGAGAGAGAGAGAGAGAGAGAATAGTTTTTGGCAGACACAACATCTTTGTTTGTATGTGGTGCTGAGGATCGAACCTGGGCCGCACATGCTACCGCTTGAGCCACACCCCCAGCCCCTGGATACTTTTCTTAAAAACTCAGTATCTTTATGTTGATGGAACTTTTGTTGTTTTACTTACATGTTTTTCCAAATGAAATATCCTGGGTGAAGTATCCAAGGGAGAAGGAAATCAATGAGGATGAAAGCCATGAAAGGACACCCCGTGCAATAAACGCCTTGTGCTTGGTGACCAGACTGTCCCGGTTTTTGCACTGGAAGTCCTTCATTCTTCCAAAGTCCCTTAGTCCTAGCCAGAAGGATGTCCTCACCCTCCAGACTTGGGCTCAGCCCAGAATGGTGGAAGTCATAGCACTTTCATGATGGGTCGAGATCACACTGAGACCTCGGGGAAGAGAATAATCTCCCCTGTGCAGTCGGAGCTTAGACTGCATAGGCCCCTGGAGCCTGGCCCAGATACTCCATGTGCCTTTCAGGCCAGTGCCATTGTTTGTTGTCTTTCTTTGTGTCTTTTGTTTTTTCCAGTGCTGGGGTGGAACCCAGGGACTTTCACATGCTAGGCAAGTGCTCTACTACTAAACTACATCCCCAGACCTTTTTATTTTATTTTGAGACAGGGTCTCACTAAGTTGCTGAGGCTGGCCTTGAACTTGCCATCCTCCTGCCTCGGTCAGTAGCTGGGGTTACAAATATGCAGCACCACCTGGCTGTTGATTGCATTTGATAGAGGCAAAACTGAGGCTGGGAGAGAAGGGGCCGGGCCACAGAGAATCAGAGCAAGGCTGGGAATCAGACACCAGGGCCCTTAGCAACTGTTAAAAAGAAAGAGATGCTGGGCTGGGGCTGTCGCTCAGTGGTGGAGCACTTGCCTTGCATGCATGAGGCACTGGATTCGATCCTCAGCCTCACATAAAAATAAATAAATAAGGAAATTGTGTTCATCTGTAACTAAAAAAAAAATAAATAAGGAAGAAGAAAGAGATGCACACACCGACAGATAGACACGGGGGCACCTGAGGGAAAGAGTCCGACAAGGACACAGGATCTGAGAGATACAGAGAGACAAACACAGAAAGGGGAAGACAGGCACAGAGGGGAGATACACAGAAAGTGAAAGACAGCGGGCTGGGGATGTGGCTCAAGTGGTAGTGTGTCTGCCTGGCATGCGTGAGGCACTGGGTTCGATTCTCAACACCACATAAAAATAAAATAAAATATTGTGTTCACCTAAAACTAAAAAATAAATATTAAAAAAAAAGAAAGTGAAAGACAGAAAGACTCAAAGGAAAGAGATGAGTAGAGACAGAGACAGTCTGAGAGACACAGAGAAAGATGGAGAGAGTTATCAAGGCAGGCAGGGGTTGAGAAGTCCCCCTCCTTCTCCCCTTCTCCCCCACTCTGGGGCCTCCAGGAGGAGCTTAGCCCTGGAAACATGGGCGGGGGGAAGGGCAGCCACTGCGGTGGAAAAAGGTGGAGGAATGTCTGTGACTGGGGCAAGGAAAAAACAAACCGCACTGCCTTTGGGCGCTGGGGCGCAGGCCTTGGGCGGAGCTGGAGGCCCGCTTCCCAGCAGAACACCTCTTTCTGTTGAATCCTGTTGCCTTCAGGCCCCAGCCCTGACCCTCCCCTACTCCCAGCATCAGTTTCCCCACTTGTACAAAGAGGAATCACGAGTGTCTTGCTTCGCTGTGTCCCCTGCCAGGTGTTCCCTTTGCCTGCTCTCTCCAGGAAGCAGAGGACAGTGTTGGTGGTGTGTGGCCCGGAGCAGAACGGGGCAGTGGGGCTGGTCTGTGCCCGGCACCTGCGGGTGTTTGTGAGTAGCAAGGAACCCCTTGGCCTCCCAAGGTCACCCCACCTTCACCCTGCAGAAATTGCTTCCTTCTCTTGAAAAGAGTCCCCAAGGAACTTGGTCGCAGGACAAGTTTCAGAATATGCCATACTTGCCCGAGGTGAGGTCTGATGTGGATACCTGAGAGGACCCCCAGTGTTGACCCCTTGTCCCCCCTCCAGGAGTACGAACCTACCATCTTCTACCCCACACGCTCACTGGACCTGCTGCACCAGGACCTCACCACACAGTGCGAGAAGATGGATATCCCCTTCCTCTCCTACTTGCCTACGGAGGTCAGCACTGGGTGACCAGTGTGGGCAGAGGTGGAGGATGGGGCCCCAGGGCCACCCCTGACCTCACCTCTCTTCCCAGGTGCAGCTCATTAATGACGCCTATGGGCTGGTAGTGGACGCTGTGCTGGGTCCTGGTGTGGAGCCAAGCGAGGTCGGGGGCCCCTGCACCCGTGCACTGGCCACACTAAAGCTGCTGTCCATCCCCCTCGTGAGCCTGGACATTCCCTCAGGCATGCTGAGCAAAGTGGGCACAGTGGGACCCGGGGGGCTTGGGTGGAGGCCCCTGTACTCTGGCTCCTGGTGGCCCCAGCTTGCATGCCCAATCTGAGCCTCAGTTTCCCCAGAGTGGATGCTGTGTGGTCTCTGGCTGAGGCCAAGGGTCACACCCATCCCAATGATGGAGAGGATGAAGTGTGCCACCCCAGGTGACCTTGGATCCCCTCCTCCCCCCGTGCCCAGCCCCGTGTGCCCGCTGCCCACCCCTGGCCCAGTTGCCTGGGTAGACGTGAGCTCACCCAGCAAAGCCACGCCTGCCCTGGCCGCCACCCCATGCCTGTTGGAACCATTAGGCGACAGGCAGACGGAATAAACAGCCGCTGGCCGCAGGACCCTCCATGGGGGTGGCTGGACTCTGGGGGATGTCCTCTGGCTTTCAGGATTCCAGAGCCATCCCAGCCCGGTGCACAGAGGAGGGGGGGCTGAGGGAGGAAGGGGGCCATCTGGGCTGCAGGCTCCTGTTTGAACAGGTAGCCTAGGACAGAGAGATTGGCTCTGATAGGTCAAAGTGATGTTAGGGGCCTTTAGTCTGCCAGTGGAGGCTAGGGTCAGAGAAGGAAGCATTATAGTCAGAGGGAGGAACCAGGGACTTCTAGTTAGTGGCCCCGGATTCAGGTCAGAGGCAAGAGAGAAGGCAAGGCCTCTAGACTGAAGGTGGATGCTCATTCAAGAGATGACAAGATGGTGGCTGGGTTGGGCATGTCGCTCAGTAATAGAGCGCTTGCCTCACAGAGCAAAGCCCTGCATTCAATCCCCAGCACAGAAGAAAAAAAGACAGAGGCTGTAGCCTTGCCAAGTCAAATAACAGGATCTGGTGTGAGGGCAAAGGCAGAGATCTTAGATCAGGGGAGGAGTGTTCAAGTCGGAGTGGGAAGGATGAAGGTTCAAGTCTGGTGGGGAGATGGGTGTGCTCTGCTGGAGACAAGAAACTGAGCAAGGAGAAAGGTCTGATGGGGGAGGCTTGCCTGAGGGTGGAGACCCGCGCTGGTGTCTGGCTGGAGGTCTGGGTGGGAAGAGGCTGTAGTCCAGAGGCTCAGGATTGTGGGGAGGCAGATATGCAGATAGGTACCAACCAGGTCCCAAGGCAGAGGCACAGGGATAATTGGGGAAGGACGGCAGGTGGAAATGATGCAGTCTGAAGGTAGAGGGTGGGTGGAGGAGGGTGGAGGAATAGCAGAATGGCAGCAGGACCAAAAAAGTGTGGGGGCAAAGGCTCTGGTCCGAGGCGGGCAGGAAACACCTGAAGGAGAGAGACTGGTCTGAGGGTGGAGGCTCGGTTCTATGGGTGGGCAGGTTGACCAAGAGCCACGTGTCAGAGAGAGAAGCTGGGTCTGCAGAGGAAGCAGGTGTGGGGGGAGCGAGACTGCGGCCTGAGGGCAGAGGCTCGGTGGCGGGGGAGGGGAGACAAGGACAGGATTCTAGTCTGAGGGCGGACGACCCTTCCAGCTCCGGATCCTCCCTGCTCGCCCCCTCCTCCCTTAGGCTGGGACGCGGAGACCGGCGGCGACGCTGAAGACGGGCTGCGGCCAGATGTGCTGGTGTCGCTCGCAGCGCCCAAGCGCTGCGCCGGCCGCTTCTCAGGGCGCCACCACTTCGTGGCCGGCCGGTTCGTGCCCGACGACGTGCGCCGCAAGTTCGCCCTGCGCCTGCCGGGTTACACAGGCACCGACTGCGTCGCGGCCCTCTGACCGGCCACCGCGCCCGCGCCTCCTGGGCCTGCACCAATAAACAGATCTCCCACCACCACCTCGCTCCGCCTCCTCTGTGCGCCGGGTCGCCACAAGGGTAGGGGGTGGGGCAGATCGAGGAGGGTCTTCCCACCTGTCCCGTGGGGAGGCCCAACGGCGGGAGATCTGGAGGGGAGCTGTAGTGTGGAACTTCCCGCCGCCTTCCCCAAAAAGCTCCAACCCGAAAAATGGAGGGTGGGTTCAGGGTTAGGACTCCCAGACGCTCAGGGTAGCCTGAAACGGATAGGATCGAAGTTAGACGTGGTGGAGGACTTCCAGCCGCCTAAAACACGTAGGTCCGGGGAGCTTCAGGTTCGATTCCAAGTGGTATTTGGCGCAGGCAGCTTGGGACCCAACTTGGAGGATAAAGGGTGGAAAGGAGGTCCAGCCAGCGACGAGGAAACTAACACACGCCGGCCTGAGGGAGAAGGCAAAGGGGTGGGAAGACGCAGAAGTGGTTACTTGAGCCGCAGTCACACAGGGCCGGGGGCGTGGCCTGGCCTGCAAGGGGCGGGGCTTGCGTTGTGTCCCGCCCCTATGTTGAATCCCAGCGGCCGCCAGACCCGCCTGAGTCGGATCGGAGCTCACCGCGGAGCCCCGACCCTCCCTCGGAGGCTCGGACCTAGAGATGGCGTCACTGCTACCACTGCTCTGTCTCTGTGTCGCCGTAGCGCACCTGGCGGGTGCCCGAGGTGAGACGCCCCCAGCCCTAGGCTCCCGGAGACTTGACAGCCAGGTTTGCGTGCAGCTACATTAGGAAAAAGAACAAGGCACCTACGTGCCTCCCCAGGGCTTAAGCCCCCTTTGCCAGCCTTGGAGTGGGGGCGATGGGGAAACGGAGCTCTGGACCATCGGGGTGGTGGGGGGGAGAGGATCTCTTATTCCCTGCCCTCCTGGAAGGAAGGCACAGTGGACTTGCCAGGAGTGTGGATGTGAACCTTAGGTTTCTTTGGTTTCCAGAGACCAGAGACGGTGGGGTGCCTGACCCACCCAGCCCCAGTTTTTGGACCCTGAATCACCAGGTCTCCTTTCCTAGACCAAAGGGTCAGAAACATTTCCTCCCTTGCACACACCCGCACCACCCAAAGAAACAATCCCCATCTCTGGAATGTCCTGCCATGGGGGCTGGTGATGGGCCCATTTCTCAGAGGAGATTGAGGCTCCAAGGAGGAAGGGACTTGTCTTAGGTTGTCACCCTGACTAGGTTATGTTCTTAAGATCAGAGAAGACAAGGTGGATTCCAAGGACAGATTGGGCCCCAAGTAAAAGGATGGAAAGGGTAGACCGAGGGAGGAACTTTCAATTGACCTGATGAAAGTGCATACATACAAGAGAATAGAGTCACAGTCGAATGAACTTGACTAAACTTGTGGCTGCTTAGCACACACAAGGGGTGATCTGAGCATGGGGGAGCAGAGTGGGACAGACTCCCCAGCTCATATGGAGTTGAAGCTGGACCAGAGAAAGGGACAGCGCTGCAGGAGTCTGGGGCTGGTGATGGAGAGGTTCTTGCAGGAGGGTGTGCTGTAGTCCACAGGGCTAGGGTTGGCTTCTGGCCTATCAGAGCCTCAGTTTTCTACCGTGTAAAATGAGAATGATCACCGCCTCCCTCTTGCACAAGGGGAGGGGGTCACAGTGGTCCCCATCATGGTCCTTCCTTTCCCCAACTCTTCCAGATGCCACCCCCGGGGAGGAGCCCACAGGAATTGCATGGGGTCTGCAAGGAAGGTCGCTGCACCCTGGCCAGCCCTCACCAGCCCTGGAGGACTGGGAAGGTGAGTCAGCTTGGTTTGGAGTCCCCTCTCTGCTGCGGACTTACATGAACTCGGGCTAGTGGGGTCATGAAAGGAGGGGACGCAAACTAAGTGAAAGCTCCAGAACCATCCTGGTGCCTAGACATAGCAGGTCCTGGAAGTGATGTCCCAAGGGACCTAAATTACCGTCTAAGTAAGAGGCTGGTCAAACAGCAGCAAGATCTCAGCGTGCCCAGATGAGCCAGCTCAAGCACTGGGGCTGGGCAAGTGGAGGTCAATCGTTCTTTACAAGGTCCTGAATCTGGTCGCGGTCGTGGGCGGGCTGGAGAATGGGTGAAGGGAGCCCAGCAGCAGGTCAGGCCCTTGTACGACTGACGGGGGCCGACAGGCTGCGACCCGGATCTCAGAGCGTGCGGTGCTCGCAGAGGCAAGCGAGTGGACGTCCTGGTTCAACGTGGACCATCCTGGAGGAGACGGCGACTTCGAGAGCTTGGCGGCCATTCGCTTCTACTACGGACCTGCCCGTGTGTGCCAGAGGCCGCTGGCGCTGGAGGCGCGCACCACCGACTGGGCCCTGCCGTCCGCGGTCGGCGAGCGCGTGCACTTGAATCCCACGCGCGGCTTCTGGTGCCTCAACCGCGAGCAGCCGCGCGGTCGCCGCTGTTCCAACTACCACGTGCGCTTCCGCTGCCCGCTCGGTGAGGGCGGGGTCCAGGGTGGGGCGGGGCCTGGAGTAGGTGGAGCTGGCAACCGTAGGTGGGTGGGACCAGAATGTGCTGAGGAAGGGGCTGTGTGGACCGGGCTAGACAGCAAGGAAGGTCGCCGCACCCTGGCCAGGAGCACCCCTACGGCCAGGAGGGGACTAGTGAGGGGAGGGGCTTAGGAGCAGTTGTTCCCAGGTAGGAAACACCGCAGATCATCCCCCTGTCCTTACCATGAGAAACACATTTCCTTCCCTCATTTGCTTATTTGTAATTGTCGTGCTCTGTAGGTGTCTTGAGCCCCAAAGGTATTCAGGAACAGGAAATAGCGGGGCTAACCTCAGAGACTTTATCCGAAAGGGATAAATGCCCTCAAAGGGCGTGCCAGACCAGCACTGATGGGGACCGTAGGCAGGAGTGCCCACCCTAGAATGCATATAGTGTGGGTGGGTGTGAAGTGGTGGTGGCCTTTGGCCCCCACATTGTCACCAGGCGAGGCGAGGCGCGGTTCCTGGGAAGGGCAGCTGTCTGACCTTCCTCTTTGCTCTCCACAGAGGTCGCCTGGGGCGCGTGGGGTCCGTGGAGTCCCTGCTCTAGGAGCTGTGGGCCGGGCCGTCGCTTGCGCCACCGCAGCTGCGCAGGCCCGGCTGAGGATGCGTGTCCAGGGCGTTCCCTGGAGGCGCAAAAATGTGTGCGGCCTTCGTGCCCAGGTAGGAAGGCGGGTATGGAGTAGTGGTCTTTTCGTGGGGGTCCGGTTAGGGTCGGGGTCAGGAAAAGAGGTTGGGACGGGGCCTGTTGAGGGACGTGCTTGGTGGGGAACTAGTTGAAGGACTAGAGAGAAGGGTTTAGGAGGAGGAAGCCGGGATGCAGCAACCATGCACCGAGGACCCCAACACAGGCTAGGTGGAAACTTCTCCTTCCAGGGCCCAAGGAGCACTGGTGACTGCCACAGGGCTTGTGTCAAGCAGACACAGGCAGAGCTAAGGGGTCACTTTCCCTGTGTGTATGGCCCAATGTACAGATATCCCCACGGGCAGACCAATGTTGCTTCTTGTACTTGGGGTGCTCCTGAGTGGCATATACAGCCTCCACCCGCCCCCCACGCCCACGCCCACGCAGACACGCGCTCACACCCTGGCAGACATGGTGCCTAGGCCCTCCCAGGGCCAGACACTGGGCCAGCCAGGAGGCGACTGGAAATTCCGCTTGGTCCTGGGCTCCACAAACACCGTCTGGACTGCTCTGGAGGAGCCTGCCGCAGGGTGGGGGCACACAGTGGCCAATGGTGGGGTCCCCACCCCACCCTGCCTGGCTCTGCCCTTTCAGAGCCTCTGCCCTGAAGTTTCCAGTGGAATTTTCCATTTTATGGAGAAGCCGTAGGTTTGGAAGGGGAGAGATGTTGTCTCCCCAAGACAGCCCCTGCTTAGATATGTTTTCTCCTGCTGGAAGGGGCCTCTCCGTCCTTGAGAGTCAACTTTTCTGTCCCCTCCTCCAGGACATCTTTCCAATCTCTCTAGATCCCAATTCCCTTTCCCTGACCTAGCCCTGTGGGCTCAGTTCCATCTCCCCCTCACACAAGGGGCTAATTTAAGCCAAGCCATGGTGACCTCTGATGGGCATAATGTGGGGCAGGGGAATCTCCAGGTGTGGCTATAGAGTAAGTGGAAAGCCCCACGACCACAGGAGGGAGTGTGGAAGCCTCTGCCCCTGCTGTCTCCTTGTGTCCCCCCAGGTTGCAGCCCTGACTTCTGCAGGTGCCCTGACCACATCCTTCTGGGCTTGGTGGTTACACCATCTGGGCGACCACTGTCAGGAGCCAGGGTGTCCCTGAGAGCCCGACCTGGCACTATAGCCACCAGCGATACCCAAGGAACCTTCCGGGTGCCTGGATTCTGTGCCAGTAACCAGGCCAATGTCAGTGCCCAGATGGATGGCTTCTCTGTAGGTGTGGCTCGGGCCCAGGCCAATGGCACCAACCTCGCTGTGGTCACCATTGTCCTTGATAAGTTACGTAAGTACCTTCACAACAGAGAGCATAAGGGGACTGAGGGACTGGGAAAGTTATTCTAGGTCACACTGAGCACTTGAAGTCCGGGGGAAAGAATTAAGATGTGACACAGTTGTTGGGGAAGGTATAGGCAGGTCAATCTCTGGGAGAAGGGAATGTATGGGGGCTTTGTTTTTGGGAAGGGTCCCTGGGAGAAGCTGTGGTGGGTCAGGGTCCTGATCTTTGCCACATTTGCCCCCAGGAAAGCCCTACCTGGTGAAGCACCCTGAGTCCAGAGTGCGAGAGGCTGGCCAGAATGTAACCTTTTGCTGCAAAGCCTCAGGAACCCCTATGCCCAAGAAATACTTGTGGTGAGTCTCTGGCCCAAGCTCAGGTAGCTCTAGTCCTGCTCTGGGGTTGGATGGGATTTCCCATGATTATGTGGTACCTCAAAGACATTCTAGAAGTGGATGCTGGCCTCGGTTTCCCATCTGGAGAGTTGAGGAAGCTTTGCCCAGGAAGCAAATAGATGGCAGAGAGGCTACCATGGAAATTAAGCAAACCCGTCTCCCCAGCA